TAAGGAAAGCCCTATCCACATGTGGATCCCATCTCACTGTGGTGTCCCTCTTCTATGGGGCAATCCTGGGGGTCTATATGCGCCCTTCATCCTCCTACTCAGTCCAAGACACAGTGGCCACTGTCATCTTCACAGTGGTGACTCCCCTGGTCAATCCCTTCATCTATAGTCTGAGAAATCGTGACATGAAGGGAGCCTTAAGGAAGCTAATTATTAGACCAGTTTTGTCAAGACTCTAGAATTAGAAAATTTTAGAGCCAAAAAGCCTACTGGAAATTATACATTTCTTAATTTTGCAAAGGCTACCGAGGCCCAGACGGGTGCAAAATCCACCCATAACTATTTCTCTAATTAGTGACCACAATCATGCTTTAAAATGAGGCTGACAGGTACTCATAAGTCATAAAATCATTCATTTGTTACCTATAAGAAGGGCTGATCCTGTGACCCTCCTTACACAGATAAAAACTAGACTGAGGCCTGGGTGAATTAGATGATTGATCCCAAGTGATACCCAGATGCATTTTCTTAAGGGTGAGCCTAGAAATGTTATAAGATGCTGGCCACCACGATGGACTGGGAATTGTGAATGACTTTAGACACAGGCTTTTTAGAGTCAACTGCTGTACATGGTCTCCATGTGAAAAGTGAAGAATCCATTTAGACTGATTTGGGTTTGAGATCTCAGAAGCAGAAAAACCTGAAAACAGGCTATCTATGGCAACTGAGAGCTACATGGGTCAACTCAAGTTTCACCAATCCTGCTCACTGATAATAAGTCAAATTACAACTGACAGTGAGTGATTCCAATATGGGAAGGAGTATCTCTGTATTATTTCACTTAGCTCTCACACAACCTCATGAGGTGATACTACAAATATTCCTATCGTTTTATGAGGAAACTGGGTCCTAGAGAAGTTAACTTGGCCAGGTCCTAGAAAAGTTAACTTGGCCAAGCCCATACAACAAATGTTTGGAACCAGAGTGATACTGACCACTTCCTCTCAAAGTATTTGGTGATTTTCGTTTTTACTTTTGTTTGTTATAATGATTTTTATCATTTTTAATTTGCATATGGAAAATTGACCACTTTTTGATATACAGTTCTATGAGTTGTAAGACATCTACAGGTTTGTATAACTACCATAACTAGTAGGATAAAAGAACAGCTCTACTACCTCAAATAGTTCCCACATGCCATCCCTTTATAGACAAACTCTCCCTCCACTCCTAACCCCTGGCAACTATTGATTCTCCACCTCTTGAGTTGTGCCTTTTCCAGAATGTCATATAGTTGGAATTATAATATATGTAACCTTTTCAGTCTTGCTTTCTTTCATTCAACAGATTCATCCATGTTGTTGTATATATCCATAATTTTTTCCTTTAAAATTTTTTTTCTAATGTTTATATATTTTTGAGACAGAGAGCACGAGCATGGGAGGGGCAGAGAGAGAGAGAGAGAGACAGACAGAGACTGAAGCAGGCTCCAGGCTCTGAGCTGTCATCACAGAGCCCAACGTGGGGCTCGAACTCATGAACCATGACATCATGACCTGAGCTGAAGTCGGATGCTTAACCAACTGAGCCACCCAGGCACCCCAGTTTGTTCCTTTTTTATTGCTGAGTAGAATTCCATTGAATGGGTGAAGCTACTGTAAAAATTAGCATACAGGCTTTGTGTTTCTGTTCTCCAGGTAAATACCTAAAAGGGAGAATCCCGTGTCATACGTAACTCCATATTTGAATTTGCAAGAAATTACCAAGCCATCTTCCATCATGGCTGTAATGTTTTGGATTCACACCTGCAATGTAGGTCTAGTTGCACCACATCCTCACAAGCATTTGGTGTTAGTGTGTAATGCTATTTCAAAGGGATCTAAGTTTGAATTTTTCTAATTGCTAAGGGTGTTAAGCAACTTTTCATGTGCTTATTTGCTATCTACATATCTTCTTTGGTGGAATGTCTGTTCAACTCCTTTGCCCATTTTTTGTTGGAATAATTCGCTTTACCTTTGAGTTTTGGATGTTCTGTATATATCCTAGATAGAAGTCCTTTGTTAGATGTGTGATGTCCATATTTTCCCCATAGGTACCTGTACCTGGCTTTCCATTCTTTTAACAGAGTCTTTTGCAGAGCAAAAGTCTTTAATATTGATGATCACGAGTCACTGTTATAATTTTTGCTTTCATCCACCATACACATTTAAAGAACAAAGGGTAGAGAAATTCTCTATTATATTTACTCAGATATTTACTATTTTTGTTCTTATTTTTGATTACAGAAGCACCAAATTCCCTTCTGGTACTAGTTCCCCTCCACTTTAAGAATATTCTTTAGCATTTTTTAAAAAAGACCAATTGGTGAAAAATTAATTCTCAAAGAATGGAATAGAAATGAGTAACTATTTTCAACTGGATGATAATAAAAATAAGTTATATCTTTATATTGTATCTATACGACATGATTGATGTAAGCTGAACTTACTGTGGAAATCATTTCATGATATACGTAAATCAAACCATCATGCTGTATGCCTTAAACTTATACAGTGATGTATATCAACTATTTCAAAATAAAACTAGAAAAAAAGAGAGCATGTGTTTGCTTCCCAATTTGTCATTAAATTAGAATGGATTTTTACGAGGTAAAAAAAAGGAAAAGAAAATAAATTGTATCATAATGTGTGGGATGTTTAGAGGGAAATTTGTAACTTTAAAATGATACAATAGAAAAAAAAGGAGTAAAGTTTGTAATCAATGATCCATGCTTCCAGCTTAAAAATATAGGGGCAAAAAAGAATGCAAAATATATCCAAAAGAACTAGAATGAAGGAGATAATAAAGCCGAAAACAGAAATCAGTGAGATACAGACTAAGAAAAGAAAATATAAAATGAAAAGTAGGCTCAGTTAAATTACGCATTTGTTAACCCTAGCAAGATTAATTACAAAAAAAAAGAGAAGGGCGCCTGGGTGGCTCAGTCGGTTGAGCGCCCCGACTTCAGCTCAGGTCATGATCTCACAGTTCCTGAGTGCGGGCCCCACGTCAGGCTCTGTGCTGCCAGTTCAGAGCCTGGACCCTGCTTCGGATTCTGTGTCTCCCCCTCTCTCTGCCCCTCCCCTGCTCATGCTCTGTCTCTGTCTCAAAAATAAATAAAAGCATTAAAAAATTTAAAAAAAGAGAGAAAACACGTTATATAAGGAATAATAGAGTTAATATAACTACACATCCTGGAGACTTTTGAAGGAAAATATCAATTAAAACTCTATGCTAATAAGTTGGCAGCTTAGGTAAAAAGGACAAATTCCAGCAAAATATATATATATGTATATATATATATATATATATATCTCACTATATATAGCTTACCACAACAGATCCAATAAAACAAAACTATTAACAGCTCTATTTCTATTAAAGAAATTGAAATCTTCATTAAAAATTTTCCAAAAAGACGGGGCGCCTGGGTGTCTCAGTTGGTTGAGTGTCTGACTTCAGCTCAGGTCATGATACCATGGAATCTGTGAGTTGAGCCCCATGATAATTCTGTCCTTAGCTCAAGCCTGGAGCCTGCTTTGGATTCTGTGTATCCTTCTCCCTCTGCCCCTCCCCTGCTCATGCCCTGTCTCTCTCTGTGTGTGTCAAAAATAAACATCAAAAAAAAATTTTTTTTTAAATCTTCCAAAAAGAGGGGTGCCCACATGGCTCAGTCAGTTAAGCTCAGGTCATGATCTGAATTGTTGACAACTCAGAGCCTGGAGCCTGTTTCGGATTCTGCGTCTCCCTCTCTCTCTGAACCTCCCCTGCTTGTGCTTTCTCTCTCTCTCTGTTTCTCTCTCTCTTTCAAAAATGAATAAACATTAAAAAAATTTTTTTTAACTTTTCCAAAAATAAAACTCCATGTCTAAATGGTTGTGCTGGTGAATTCCATCAAACACTGAATGAAAAAACAATATTGGTATTCTACAAACTCTTTCAGAAAATACAGGAAGATGGAATTTATTCCCACTCATTGTATTAGGCCAGCGTAAGTAACTTTGATACTCAAATCTGACAAATACATTACAGAAAAGAAGAACCTCAGACCAATTAATGTAACTATCATATAAATGGACTAAGGAATAAAAATGATATGATCTTATTAGTTGATGCAGAAAAAGCATTTGACAAAATTCAAAACCCAATTAGCTCAGTGAATTCCAAATAGAAGCGAAGTCCCTCAGTCTGCTACAGGCTTCTACACAAAGCCTAAAGCCAATACCACATTTCATGGTTAAAGACTAAATGTTCTCCCCTCTAAGACTGGGAACAAGGCAAAGATACACACTCTTACCACTCCTATTCAACATTGTACTGGAAGTCCTAGCCAGTGCAGTGAAGCAGGGGAAAAAAATACATACAGATTGAAAAGGAAGAAAATAAAGCTAACCCACTGGTAGATAACATTACTGCCCAGAAACAAAATTCCAAGAAATATACAAAAAAAAATCTCACAAGAAAACAAAAAACTCCTAGAACACAGTTTAGCAAGGTCATCGGATACAACACATAAAAATCAATCAGATTTCTATATCTCGGCAATGAATAATTGGAAATCAACAATTTTTAAAGTATTATTTATAATATATCAAAACACATGAACTACTTAAGTCTAAATTTTAAAACATATGCCAAGTCTTTTTTTTTTTTTTTTTTTTTTTTTTGAGAGACAGAGAGAGCTAGCATGTGAGCAACATGAGCAGGGGAGGGGCAGAGAGAGAGGGAGAACAGAGAATCCCAAGCAGGCTCTGGGCTGTCAGTGCAGAGCTTGATGCAGGGCTTGAACCCACGAACCATGAGATCATGACCTGAGCCAAAACCAAGAGTTGGCCACTTAACTGACTGAGTGCATGCAAAGTCTCTATGCTAAAAACTATAAAATGTTTTTGAAAAAAATCAAAGAAGACATAGAAATGGAAACTATCACAATGTTTACAGATTGGAAGACTAAATATTAGAAAGAAACCAACTGCTCTCCAAATACCCTACAGATTTATCACAAGTCAAATAAAAATATTTGATGGACTATTTAAAAATTTTTTTAGAAATTAACAACTGCTTGTAAAATTTATATGCAAGGCAAATGAACGATTTTGAGAAAAACAAAGTTGAAGGATTCACACTACCTGATTTCAAGACTTAACATCAAGTTACAATAGTTTTGACCAGAGCATAGACACATACATTAATGGAACATGATAGACTCAGAAATAGACCCACTCATCTATGTTAAATTGATTTTAGAAAAAGGTGCCAAAGCAATTAAATGTGGAAAAGATAATCTCTTTAATAAATAAACTACAATATTTTAATAAACTGCAATATTTTGATAGGCAGAGTAAAAAGAAAAAATTAAACAGATCCTTATCTCACATGATACACAAAATTAACTCAATATGGATAATGGACATTAATGTAAAACAAAAACTATAAATTTCTAGGGGAAAACATAGGAACAAATCTTTGTGATCATAGGTTAGACAAAGATTTTGTAGGTCTGACAACATAAGCATGATCCATAATGTGATTTAAAATTATAAATCAGACTTGAGAAAAATGTAAAATGTTTGCTCTTTGAAGATACTTTTAAGAAAATGAAAAGATGAGCCACAAACTCAGAGAAAATATTTGCAAATGCTACATCTGATAAATGCTTAATAAACACAATATGTGAAGAAGTCTGAAAATTTGAAAATAAGAAAACAGCTCAATTTTTCAAATGGGTAAGAGATTTGAATAGACCACTTGACCCCAGATGATGTATGGGCAAAAGATGCCCTGCCTCATTAGTATTCAGACTTGCAAATTAAAACCGCAATGAAATCACTCTACGTGCCCTTTAGATTGCTAAAAACCAAACCCTGAAAAGATCATGGATGTGCAGAGCAATAGCAACTCACTTTCATTGCTGGTGAGAATGTAAATGGTACACCTACTTTGGAAAATGGAGTTTCTTAAAAAGTTATACATACACTTGCTTTATTAGTCAGGTGTGCTGCCATCACACAACACCACAGACTGGGTAGCTTAAAGAACAGAATTTATTGCCTCACGGATCTGGAGGTTATGTGTTCAGGATCAAGGTTCCAGCAGATTCAGTGTCTGGGGAGAGCCATCTTCTTGGCTTGCCCATGACTACCTTTCCACTGTCCTCATATGACCTTTCCTCAGTGCCTCTGTGCAGAAAGAGGAAGAGAGTTCTTTGGGGTCTCTTTTTCTAAGACAATAATCCTATCAGAACAGAGCTGTAATCTGGGGTGCCTGGGTGGCTCAATTGGTTAAGCATCCGGCTCTTGATTTCAGCTCAGGTCATGATCTCACGGTTTGTGGGTTCGAGCCCCATGTTGGGCTCTGTGCTGACAGCTCAGAGCCTGGAGCCTCTTTGGATCCCCTGTCCCCCTTTCTCTCTGCCCCTCCCCCACTCACACTCTGTCTCTCTCTCTCTCTCTCTCTCTCTCTCAAAAATAAACATTAAAAATTTTTTTGAAAAAAACAGGGCTGTACTCTTGTGACCTCATTTAACCTTAAGTACTTGCTTAGACACACACACACACCCCCAAATACAGCCACAGTGGGGTTAGGGCTCCAACATATGAATTTGGGGGACATAAACATTCAGTCTACAATACTCCTAGATATCTATTTAAGTAAAATAAAAAGCTATGTTCAGAAAACCCTGTATACAAACAACTATAGTGGCTTTATTCATAATCCATCAAACAGAAAACAGTGCAAATGTCCTTGAACTAATGAATGGATTAACAAATGCTGGTACATCAAAACAATTAAATATTACTTAACAGGAAAATGAACAGCAATATTGATATACTTATATCATGATTGCTGGGGGCTGGAGTTTGGGTAGGGGTTACCTACAAAGGGACACAAGGCAATTTTGAAGGATGATTAAACCGTTTGGTATTTTGATTATCATGGTGGTCACAACACTAGATGCACTTGTCAAAAACTTGCAGAACTGTACTCTAAAATAGATTATTTTTACTCTATATAAAGTATACTTAAATTTAAAATAATCAAGCAAAAACTCATTTTCTTTCTGTATTATATTTGTTGAGTTCTAATTTTATTATTTTATGACCAGAGAATGTGGTCTCCAAAGTTTAGATTTCAGAAAATTTTTAAGAGTTTTATTTTAATTTTTTAACGTTTATTTATTTTTGAGAGACAGAGAGAGACAGAGAATGAGCAGGAGAGGGGCAGAGAGAGAGGGAGACACAGAATCCAAAGCAGGCTCCAGGCTCTGAGAGTCAGCACAGAGCCTGACGTGGGGCTAGAACCCACAAACTGTGAGATCATGACCTGAGCCAAAGTCGGACACTTAACTGACTGAGCCACCCAGGTGCCCAAATTTTCTTATAACCAATAAGATATTCAATAATAGTTAATATTCCCTGGGTTTAGGGAATTATTTATATATAATTAATATAAAAATGTTATGTATGTGTAATTGTGCATACGTGTATATATACTTACTTAAAATTACTAGATCATACTTTAAATTTGGTAATTCAAATCTCTGATTAACATGAATTTTGCCTACTAGAATCATTAAGTTTTGAGAAAGGCATAATAAAGTATTTTAATAAAAGTGTAATTTAGTAAATTTTTTCTTGTAGTTTTAAGAGCTTTTGACTTTTTCTGTTATGGTGGTTGTTACATTTTTCATACAGTTTCTTTTTTTTTTTTTTTTAATTTTTTTTTTTTTCCAACGTTTATTTATTTTTGGGACAGAGAGAGACAGAGCATGAACGGGGGAGGGGCAGAGAGAGAGGGAGACACAGAATCGGAAACAGGCTCCAGGCTCTGAGCCATCAGCCCAGAGCCTGACGCGGGGCTCGAACTCACAGACCGCGAGATCGTGACCTGGCTGAAGTCGGACGCTTAACCGACTGCGCCACCCAGGCGCCCCCATCATACAGTTTCTTAATTGGTTAAATGTTTATGTATATTATGTATTTGATCATCACAAAGCATGCCTCCCACTCTCTTCCTGTCACTGATTTCCTAGACAGACAACAGACTAAGAAAGGAGGATGTGAGTATCCAAAATTGTGTAACAAGTATTGGAACAAGATTCCAATCTCTCTCATTCCTATTTTTTGTGTCTGGACAGAATATGAAAAACAAACACTTAAAATGTGTGTCTCTATGGGGAATCCACCCTGGGGACACCCAACCTTGGCAGCTATTTCTGCCCTGATCCCTAAGAAAGTCCTAATCTCCAGGGAAGGAAGATCTGCTTGTTTGTTCCCAATCATCCACACCAGACCTAGGAGAGCAACAAAGATTCCTCAGTCCTCAGCCCTGGCTGACACTTTTGTATCATCCAGCGTCAAGCAAGGAGCCAGTGGAGATGGGGGTACCATGACCACATCTCACAGCAGCAGAGAACAGCCAGGTAAGAAGGGCTGGAAAAGCAGGTGAGGGCATGGGACCTCCAACAACAGATTCACGTGCACACAAACACTCAGATAAGCAGATACACGAAATCCCTCTGCACCTGACCAAGTTCAAAGGGGGCATGTGTCCTGGTTTGACACATACAAGCCTTTCCCTTTTCAGGACGTGCTGCCCATTGCAGGACTGAGCAGGCACGTTTCCAAGGAGGACGTGGAAAAGCAGCAGTGGGAGAAGAAGGAGACAGTTCAGGTTAGTGGCACTAGGGTCAGTGACTGCAGGCTCCTAAAAATCCTGTCCAGAAGCTCAGGCCAAGAGCTGCCCCTTCCTCCCCACAACAGAGACTCTTCTGGCAGACATTCAAGACCCTCCCATGCTGCCCCTACTCTCTACCTTACCTCCTCCCACTATATCCACTCATAGTAAGAGGAATTCAGTGGGTGACTACTAAAATGTGGCTGGTTTCCTGGGGAGTCTCAATTTGAAGCTTTAAAATGGGAAATTCTTTTTTTTTTTTTTTTTTGGTTGTAACCTACATTCCCAATGCTGGAAGTGGGAAACTACAACAAGGAAGCATGGGATACTCTGAGCTTGTTTTACTCACTATTTGGCCTTTGTAGCAATTCAAAGATGACAGGAAGAATCTCATTTGATATCCTGTTATCCCTCTTTTTTATCTTCTCCTCTGTTTCCATTATGGGAAACTATCTGTCTTTGAGACCAGAATATTCACACCCACTGCCCAGCCAGTCTCTTGTCTTCTTGATGACGGGTCTCCCTCACCCCTCAACGTCTCCAGTCCACATTAACCAGGTTCCTTCTGGAGCATCTTCGAGCTTCTGTCTAGTACTCTTTTACCTACCTGTGTCCTCGGAAATAGTCCAGGTAAAAAACAACCTCCAGTCTCAGCACTTTTCCCTTGATTTTATGGATTGAAATCTCAGTGGCAGGCACCTCACTATGGAGATTTTCCATTTTATATATATCCTACAACCAATTCCTAGGAATATTCCCTACAACATTCTCTGGCCTAGCCATCAAGTCATATCACAAAGCAGTTCGTGCCTCTCTTTCTTCCCTTTGCCTCAAGCCTTTGTTCTCATGACTAACAAATGCACTCCCTCTCCTTCACTATTTCAATACCATAAATTCTTCCAGGGACATTTCATTCACAGTGCTTTACTTGACTCCTCCCTCCCTATAATGATTTCTTAGTGCGGGGATTATCTGCTGGAGGTACCACATGAATTTGCTTTACCAATCAGTAAATCCCTTTTGTCCAATAGCAAAAATAATCTGACTAAATTATTGTGTGTGTGTGTGTATACATATATATACACACAGTAAAACCTTGGTTTGCGAGCATAAATCATTTCAGAAACATGTTTATATTCCAAAGCACTCATATATCAAAGCGAATTTCAAGAACCGTTGGCTCAGTTGTGATCATGTGACATTTGGGTTTATGCACTACTTGTATTGCAAGACATTGCTCCTTTATTAAGTTAAAATTTATTAGAAATGTTTGCTTGTCTTGCAGAACACTCACAGAACAAATTACTCACCATCCAAGGTTACACACACACACACACACACACACACACACACACATACATATATACACACATGAGTGTATCACTTTCAAAAATATATCTGTCTTTGTTCTTCTATCAGAAATCAGATGAATGTTTCACACAGCAACCTGAACAGTGTGCTTAGGTCAGCCTTCCCAACAGCTGTGATCTATGCTTAGGTCAACTTAAAAGCAGCTAAAATTTTAGGGACAAACCACCAACTAGGTCTTTCAAAACCAACAAATTTTCCATAATTTGGGAAAATATAAATGCCACAGATAACATTTGCAGGTTTGTAATACAGCATTTAGTACAGAACCTGCCACATGGTTAAGTTTTTACAATAAATGGTTAGCGAATCAAAAAAAGACCATACAGAAAAAAGCATTTCACCCAATTTGGATATCTAACTTGTCTCATGAATTTGGAAATATCACTTAACTGCCCTGAGCCTCAGTTGTTTTATATGTTAAGTGAAATAAAATATCTCAATTATTAGATGAGGCTAAATACCATACATGAAAGTATCTGTATATGGTACTCAGTAAATAAGAGTAGAATAAATAAAACTATAGCCTCTGGTAATTCAACACTCTTAAATTAACCAGGGTTTTTCTGTAAACCTGTAATAGTAAAGTGTGAAAAAGACTATTCAGCTTTAGGTAATTCTCAACCAAATGGAAAAGTGGTTCCAAAATATATTTGCTCAAATGTTGACATATGATCTAACCCTATGATGATATTTTCTCCCCTGCAGACATGGATAGAGACAACCAGACTACGGTCACAGAATTCCTTCTCCTGGGACTCTCTGGGCAGTCAAAGCAGGAAGAGATTCTCTTTGGGCTGTTCTTGTGGATGTACCTGGTCACCATCATTGGGAACATTCTCATCATCCTGGCCATCAGCTGTGACAGTCATCTCCATACCCCCATGTACTTCTTCTTGGCTAACCTCTCCTGCATCGACATCTGCTTTTCATCAGTCACAACCCCCAAGATGCTGCTGAATCACATACTGGGAAGCAAGTCTATCTCTTATGTGGAATGCATGACCCAGATCTACTTCTTCATCACTTTCATCAACATGGATGGGTTCCTTCTGAGTGTGATGGCCTATGACCGTTATGTAGCCATCTGTTGCCCACTCCACTACAGCATGATCATGAAGCCCAAACTCTGTGTCCTTCTGGTGGTGGTCTCTTGGGTCATTACAAACCTGCATGCTCTCCTACACACTCTTCTCATGGTCCGACTCACCTTTTGTTTCAACAATACTGTGCATCACTTTTTCTGTGACCCCTATGCAGTTCTAAAGCTGTCTTGTTCTGATACTTTTACCAATGACCTGATGGTATTCACTGTGGGTGGACTGATATTTCTGACACCATTTACATGTATCATCATTTCATATGCATATATCCTCTCTAATGTACTGAAGTTGCCATCTGCCCATGGAATAAGGAAATCCCTGTCCACATGTGGATCCCATCTCACTGTGGTGTCCCTCTTCTATGGGGCAATCCTGGGGGTCTATATGCGTCCTTCATCCTCCTACTCAGTCCAAGACACGGTAGCCACTGTCATCTTCACAGTGGTGACTCCCCTGGTCAATCCCTTCATCTACAGTCTGAGAAATTGTGATATGAAGGGAGCCTTAAGGAAACTGATCTCAAATTCTAGAAAATTTTAGAGTTTAGAAGATTTTTGGCTATCATACATTGTTTCATTTTATAAACAGAGAAACTGAGTCCCAGATAGATATAAACTCACTCATGACTATTCCTCCAATTAATGATACATGATCATGCTCATGCTTTTAATATGAGGCCAATAGTTGCTTGTAAGTCCTAAAACTGTTAAGTTTGTTAATTATAAAAAGGGCTCATTCTAAACACTCATTTTACCAACAACCAAAAACTCAGGACAAGACACATTTGGATAGTTTTGGGATGATTCCAGCAACCCCATGAGACAGTGGCCACCACAATGGTCTGGGAATTTCAGAGGACTTTAGAGCTGGCTCTAAATCAATGCCCTCTTGGCTTCACATTAGGAGATGTTAAAATTATCCCCAATTTACTGAGTCACAGAAAGGTTATCATTACCAAGGCTGTACAACTAGTAATTGTTGGTTACAGAATGGTCCTGTTGACTCTCAGGGTCACTAGTTGTTACTGAGTTAGGTAATTTTCCCTCTATCCTAGGCTCAAGTCAATCTCCCAACCTCTTACAGTTCAGAACCCTACCTGTACACTACTCTCCCTCACTACCATTCTAAATTTTTGGTCCTTTTTTGCTCAGAAGGGAGTCAGGAAACTTCAGATAGTAGCTAGACTTCCTCATGGAACTCTTGGTATCCCTTCAAGTCAAAATGGTCTAAGGGAAGGGGTACCTGGGTGGCTCAGTCAGTTGAGCATCTGACTCTTGATTTTGGTTCAAGTCATGATCTCATGGTTTGTGGGATGGAGCCCTGCATTGGGCTCCATTGTGCTGACAGTGCAAAGCCTGCTTGGGATTCTCTCTCTCCCTGTGTCTCTGCCCCTCCTCTGCTTGCACTCTCTCTGTCTCTCTCAAAATAAATATATAAACCTTTTTTAAAAATGGGCTAAGGGAATTAGGATCCCTTGATGCTGAAGTGTCCAGAGTTACTATAGCATCTTAGGGACATGAAAATATGAATTAATTATAGAATTTGGATTGGGACCCAGGACTTCTGATTCAAAGCCCAGTTTGTTCTACTCCATGGGGCCAAGTGTCCAGGAGTCCTAGCCTCTTCTCCTACTCTACACCTGAGGGCTCAGAACCCACAAGGAAGTTCCCACCTCCTCTTTCTTGGTGTCCAGAGGGCACTCATCTAATCTCCAGTGGCCAATCTTCAATATTCCTCCCCTCACTGGCCTTCTTGCCCTCGCTTCTCTCCTTTCGCAAACTCCTCCAATCTCCAACCCCCAAACTCCAATAGGACTGAGTGCTAATCAGTACTCATTGTTCTCACAATCCACTCCTTTCTGACTTGGTCCTAACAGTGACCAACTCTTACCTTGACCACAGCAACAGCCTTATGGTAAATCTGACTGCCCCCTGCTTCTCCCTACACATCTACCCTGCACACAGGATCTGTCTGATCATCCTAAATCACTGATTGTATTTTTTCAGTCAGTCCTTATATAAAATATTGAAGAGGCCAGGATAAATCCAAATATTACCTTCAAATAAAATGTCTAACATGATTTGGCCTCAAGCTATACCTACAATTTTGTCATCAACTCACATATTCATCTGTTCCATGACTTGTCTCTCCTATTTTCCTTCTCTTTCCTTCCTTCAGTCTCTGCTGGAAGACTCCCCAGATTTTTTTAAGACTGGAATATTTGTGCATTTCCCTGAACCCATTTACTGATCACATCCCACAGACATTTATGGAGCACACAATATAGTGCTTCTCAGATATAGCATGTGAACTTCCTAATGTATGTTGGTGCTGGTGGAAACCTGACTATATGTGGTAAACCTGATGTATCTTCCTGAACTAGGAGTTTGACTTTAGAAGTAGTTTAGTGCAAATGTTCGAGATATAAGAGACCAACATTGGTGTTTAAGGTTATAGGACCATTTTAGGCTCATCATATTTTTGCATTGCCCATATCTATCTGCATACATGTCTCATATGGTTATTACCCAATGTACTTATTCAAGAAAGTACCATAGATTATGCATGGGCATATCCCCTACAATGCTTAGTAGACCTTTTCTTCATCCCAAATAATCATGTATTGAAAAATCATTGATGATGTGGTAGGCAAGTGTAATGGGAAACTGGAAAGTGGACATTCCTAGACACAAAAAATCAGAGTAGTAGAATTTACATCTAGGGATCTAGAATACTGACAAATTTACTCTGGAACATGGAAACGTTTCACTGAATTCTAGGACCCAAAGAGGCATCAGGGTTGAATGGAAAGAGCCATGTTTTGGGGTATGGTTTTATTCCTCAGTCCCTCTCTCCCTCAACTTTCAGTCAAAGGTTGGGTATGAGAAGGAGGATGAAGACAGAGGGAAGTCAGTGAATGTACTAGGTGGTACAGACTCTGATCACTCTGTATCCACATGGTTCCCATCAATTCATCTTAGGGCAGAAGCCATCATTCACCATACAGCAAATTTGCCTTCAAGGGGAAAAGAATCCTCTAAAATATCAGCGTCATGGTGTGAACAGACAGAGGAAAGGCCTTGGTCTGGGTCACACTGGCTATGGTATGAGAGGTTATATGCTGGTCAATTTACCAGAGCCTCAGAACTTTAATCTTCCTACTTCTGCAGACCACCTTCTACTGAATCTTCACTGGCTCCCTGCATTACTTTTCACGGGCCTACTACATAAGGGGACTGTAGGGGAGACAGTAAAAGGAGTTTACTCCAGGGGCCTGGGCAGAATCAGCCTTTATTGTGGTGTCTTGCATGTGAGGCACCCATAGGATATGAACTCATGAAATTCTGAACTCATAAATTAAAGCTCAGCATCATCTGGGGCCTCTAATGCCCTCTCCTCCATAGAACCAGATGCAGGACCAGGCTGGCAGAGTCCACCCTGGGTGCAGTCAGGAAATCAGGACTGTGTCTGGGAATTCACCCTCCAGGGCCTCTTCTCTGCAGGTGGGACTCCCAGCAGACACTATCTCCCTTCCTCACAGGCAACTTCCATCCAGCACTAATTAGCCACTAGGGGCCAGCTTTTTGCAAACAATTGAAACAACTTGGGTAGTTGACTTCAGCTCAGTGAATGTTGAAAGAGAGGCTTATCCCCCTTCCCAGCATATTTCCTCAGACACTGGCCATTGCAAATGAGATGTTTTCCAGTGACATGGGATCATCTCCCTCCAACTTGTGCTTCAAGTGTCTGCTCCAAGGCTACGCCAGCCCAGGGAGCCTTCCAGGAGAGCCTGGTACTATCTCTTATGAGCTGAAGCCTTTCACTGGTATTGCAACCTCATAAAGATTGTTACTGTCCTGCATGCAGTATCTTGTCTCCCTGTGCTTGAGGCCAGAAGCTAAGCTTCACATGGACTTTGTCTCTCACAACATCAATCGGCCTTCAGTAGATGACCTTGTCCTTTTATCCCATGAATATTAAAAACCAGTTTGGCCTAACTGATGAATTCTGATTCCTAATAAATCTAGTTATCTATACTAACTTTTCACGAGGCACAAAGAATCAGTATCTTGCCAAACCCATTTTCAAGACAGGCCATCTTTTATTTGCTCTAAACTTTAGGCATATCATGTTGACGGCCAAAAACTACTGGTCCAGGCTTGTCTTAATTTTAAAGCTTTTAAAAAAATTTTTTAATGTTTATTTACTTTTGAAAGAGAGACAGAGAGACAGAGTGTGAGCAGGAGAGGGTCACAGAGAGAGAGAGGGAGACACAGAATCTGAAGCGGATTCCAGGATCTGAGCTATCAGTACAGAGCCCAACATGGGGCTCGAACTCACAAACAGTGAGATCAGACCTGAGCTTAAGTCGGACACTTAACCAACTGAGCCACCCAGGTGCCCCAAGGTGTCTTGATTTTTAAATGTGAGATACAGTGATATGTAGGAAGATCCCTGCTACTGTATTGTGAAAACA